AGATACTACCTAATCGATCTACTTGAGGGAACCCAGCCAATACATGAGGACCATGTGCTGCTTCAGTAGGATTGATAAAACTTTCATCTTGAGACAAAAGACGTAACGACTCGGCACCGCATGGGTTTAAAACAATTGCAAGGTTGCCCCCACTAACACACNATTTTTTACTTTAAAAATTTAATTTAATCCAGCTCATACGGAATACCTTCATAGCCAAAAGTACCGATACGAGTAGATATCGATACTTTAGATTCGATATTTTTCGTATATCGATACTTTCTTACGATACTACTTTCAAGTAAAAGTATCGATAACTGCATGGTATAGTTTCATCCCTACTCATGAATACGTCTAGCTTTTCGCAAAGTTTGCGGTGCATTCTCCGAAATTTTGGTAATGGATTTCTCGTCAGGGGCTTAGTCAAACTAAGGAAAAAAGGCATCTTGAAAATCCTCCCACCAATTTTCCTTGGAATTCCACTAAAGCCTCCTTTTACCCTTCGTAATTGAGACCAAAGATACTACCAAATCGATCTACTTGAGGGAACCCAGCCAATACATGAGGACCATGAACTGCTTCAGTAGGATTGATAAAACTTTCATCTCGAGACAAAAGACGTAACGACTCGGCACCGCATGGGTTTAAAACAATTGCAAGGTTGCCCCCACTAACACACTGAAGGTATCTCGCAAAGGATAACGGCAATTGGAGACTTTTTTGGCTTCGACACACAAATGAAGAAGCGTTTTTTTCTTTGTTCGGGATTAATATAACCTCAAAGGTGCAGGTACTTAGACTCTTTTACAGAATACTTCGGGATTTCATCCCCCACTTTTCCATAAAGCAGTTTTATAATCGCCAAACATCCCAATTATTCGCAGCCAATTGCAAACGAGGCGGTTAGAGTAAGATCTCCTTTTCAGTTGTTTGGCCGCCGGAAACTCCGTTTGGACTACTGCACTTGCGATGAAAAGTAGCCTGCGTCAAAATTTTTGAGCCCGGCACAATGAGTCCAGTGCCCAAAATTGTAGAAGAAGATTCCCAAGGGAATTAGACAGTGGCAGTTCAGATTCAAAGTGTGGCAACAATAATTCTGTTTTCGAGCATCGCAATAAGCCATTCAGTCAACAAATTCGGTGAAATTCAGTACTGTCGAAAGTCATTGCAATATCCATGAAGTCCATCTGATCATAGTGCTTACCGTCCATGGTATTACGAATCAGGTCATTCAGCTCAGTCAGAGTAATCTAAGTAAACTTTCCTTGGAGACCTGTTGTCATTGAGTCAACCAAAAAAAAAAGGATGATAGCCCTCGATGTGGAACGAGATATACGTACACGCCTCCTTTACAGAGCGCGGTCTAGATACCATCCGGGCCAGGTGACTTATTTAGAGAGAAGTCTAGGATGAATCTCTACCGGTCAGACGCACCTCTACCGCAGTGTTGTTTCATCCAATGAAAAGTGCATTCCCCGAACGAGCAAGAGAGCCTCTTCTTTTGATAGAGTATAGAGACCGGCCAGCTTTCCAAAGACTACTTTATATTTGCAATCTCTCTACGCCGAGTTCGTTGATAAAGCGAATTTCCTGGCTCGGCTAAAAAGCGTCCATATCCTCTTTCGAAGTTCAGATAGCCCCACATTTCACATTAATCTGGATTCCGATAATCGCTTTTCGAGCCATCTGCGTAAGATGTAGGCATGAAAGGGATGGCAGAAAATGTCTCAAGATTGCACAGTTCAGTTCTGATGAAGTTCAGGAGCATACAATTTTTAGGATAGTATTTTAAAGCAAACAAGATCTTCCATGAAGTCTTTTACTGAAACTCTTTGGCACTGCTTCAAAGCCTCCATATTAATATTAAATTATGTAGCTCTATTCAATACAGACCTGCATACCCTTTCAATAAGCGGGTTTTACATAATACACTTACTAAGCACGAAATCGCACAAAAAGATCGCGTAATAACACGTGCAACTGGTATTTGAATGTGCAAAACAAACTCCAATGAAAAAAAATAAAAAAATCCAAATATGCACCGTTGCAGCTGGAAGTGTGTCGACGACGTGCAGGTAAAAGAAGTCCAAAATATAAAAAAAATATATAATGTGGTGGTAGCAAAAAACAACTCACTTGCAGACAGCTGATGAAACAGGTTAAGCGTGTGGCGTTGCAATACGCGCGATTTTATTTTTTATACTATTTCTTATTTATCTATTTTATTTTTCTTCGCTTTATTTTAATTTATTTTTGTCGCTTTATTTTAATTAATTTATTTTGTTTTTATTTCACCTGCATTTTTACAGTTTCTTTCGCGACAGTTCGCTGTCGCAACTTATGCCCAATTGTCTGCGGCGTTGAAATTGGCTCACCGGCCGCTCTAGCGCGCTCCATTGCGCTCTATGCCGCGGCATGTCTGCAACACTTGAACGCCCTGCCCTGCACGCTCGCGACCACAGCTGACTTGCCAACAGCACGATTGCACTTTTCTTTCAACTGCATTTCACACTTTATCACTTGCAATTTTTTTTTTTTAATTTCTTGCTATTTACTACGCCTTTTCTTCTCTTACTTTTATGCACACACGTGCCGTTATCGCGTATGGTTTTTATTGTGCCACTAAAATTGAATTGAAAGTGAAATGGCAAAAGTGGTTAAACAAAAAAAAAAATCCCCGGTTTTATGACCATTGCTTTAGTCACTTCCTGTCTTAGTGGCGTCGTACCATTTAAAAAGCGGATTGTTGTTAGTTTGTTGTTGTTACTTTTCTTATGTGGTAAGAAAAAATCGTTCATCGTAGCCATCAAAGCTGATGCAAACGAGTTTATTTCATTCATAAATTACCAGCACCACAAATGGATGCGTGAAAGAAAATGTATGAAGAGTGCAGATGATGATGAGCGAGAAAGAGAGAGGGAGTGTTAGTGCGAGTATGAGAGAAGCTATTGGATTGTGGGTGTAGAAAGAGTTATGACATACTTACTAAAGGCATTAACTTGCCACAGTTAGTGCATTGGAAAAGAAAAATTGCAAAAATTATAGCCTATCTGAAGGCAGATCAGTAACTTTTAAGGCGATAACTTTTTTAGTTTTTTTTTTTTGTTTTTGCCATGAAATTGCATGTGTTTATAGCGTAAGACTTAAGAAGTAAAAAGCAATAAAGTACAGAAAAAAATGTCTCGCACATTTTTTATAAAAATTCAAAAATTTTAAATTACTGAAGGGATTAAACTTTCTATTTATTATTATTTAATTCATTTTTTGAAAACAAACATGTTTGATTTTTTTTTTATTTTTTAGTAAATTTTTTTAATTTCTATTATTTTTTGTGGTGGCAACTGTAGTAAAAATTGTTGCTAAAACGTTTTCGTAATTTAACTTCCTATAAACGTTTTTACAAAGTTACTTAATTATTAATTAAAAAATGTGTATATTTGGCACCCCTTCTCAAAAACTACACAAAACAAAACTCTCCAAATCATCTCTCACTCATACCCGTAATACAGTGCATAGTGTTTCACATTTGTCATATTTACATTTTTAAATAATTTTCAAACCTTTTGCAGTTGGCAACCATATTCAAGGTTTTAAATTAAAAAACAGTAAATTTATTAAATTAATTTTTTTACATTATTAGGGGTGGCAAATCTTTTCGGAATATTTAAAAAATTTAAATGGTATTTTATTCTTTTCTTTTTTAAAAAAAATTATTTATACTTCCAAATATATGTATAGATACTATCAGAAAATACTGCTTCAGATAATACGCTTTTTAAAATGCATTTACGCAAGTTTTATGTACACTAGGTATGTAATAAAAAAAAAATTTAAGCTTCGTAAATTGAATTTTATTTAAATAAAATTAACAAAGAACTCAAACATTTTTAACCGACTTCAAAAAAGGGGAGGTTATCAATTCTTCGGAGTATAGTTTCTTCTTTTATGTATGCCACCGCATAACTTTGCACCGCGTGAGCCGATTTCAATATATATATTTTTTTTTATCGGAATGAAGGTATCTTAAGGGTAGTCCCGTAATTTGGTTTAGATCCGATCATTGGATCATGAAAAAATTAACGGTACTCCTAAATTTGTATATGGTAAATTAAGTCGGTTGTGTTTTTTGCTTAAAAATTACTTATTATGCGCTCAACTTTGAAAAGTAGTAAAAAGTGTTACAAAGGAATTTTAATATAAATTAATTAATTAGTTCCATGAAATTTTTACCACTTTTATGTTCATTTTCCTCGATTTCTGGTTTTTGGTTTCCGATAGAAATGGCGATTTTTCACAAATGCCCCATTTTTTTAATTTTTCGAATACCGCAAAAATTAACTGAACTTGTATTTTTATTATGTAGCTCATTTTTGTAAAACGAATTCGAAGCTGGCAAACTAAATCTTCGAATCCTTCTTAAGTACATATCAGTGGCTGTAAAGGCTCTAAAGTATAAAAAACATACCCCAAAATCCACCGCTTGTGAGCGCTAATGCTTCCCTCCCCTATTTCTTTGTAACGATAACTTACAGGCTAACCTAATATTCGCGCACGCCGCCAATTTACTGTCAAAAATTTCTCATGCACATACAACTTGTATGGGACCAACCGAAATTGAACGGCGGCGTATGAAGCTAACTCAATTTCCAATTTTTGTTCTGCGTGACATTTTGATTTGACGTTTCGCTCAATGAAATCAAATGCAAACGCACGCAAGCCAATTTCGGGTGACGCAAAAAAACAAATTCGACGGCGTGCGTACCAAAACGCAAGCCGCGAATATTAGGTTAGCCTGTTAGGCATTCCTCCTCCAAATGTTCAGACAGTTGAGTTGCGGACGTACGAACTTTTCCTCGAGTAGTCAGGCCCACTAAGAAGAAAACTTATACGCAGATTTAAAGTCGAGGTTTTCTTCTTGCCAGGAATTCCAAGACATATTTTTTTCATGTCTTGTAACCTCATAGCCTTCGGATAAGTCTTTTATTCTTGTCTAGAGTCATTCTAGCAGTTTGAGAGCTGTTTCGTGGCGTGGTAGTCACTAATTGTTTTTGTGAAGAAGCTCTTGTAATTTTTTTCTAGGTTTCTTAACTCCACCAACTCCTTTATTTCTTTAAATCAAACTAAAACCTAATGCGTTTAAAAAAAAGTGAATTAATAAGAGTGATAAAGAATGAGCGAATTAACTCCGCAAAGTGCAAAAAATACAATAACAAGCAAATGCTTTAAATAACTTCGCAATGATAAGAAAAGTCATACTCATTTAACAAAAAATCGAGAAAATAAGTTCAGCAGCTAAACGAAAATGCCTCACGCACACTCAGCCGGCCGCCGAAAACCCCCAACCCAAAGACGTCTTCTTCTACGCTGCTCGCAGCTAATATTTCTACAGTTGCTGCTGTCTCATTACTCCCTCCAACATGCCATCAAAAACGAGCACAGCAGTGCCAATGCCACCAGCAACAACAGCACAAGACCGCGAGCAACAGATGCCGCTAGCTCGGAGAGTTATTTCGTGCCACATCGCTTCTCCAGCAGCAACAATATAACCATACTCCACGAAGTGCATGAAATCGCCACGCACGCAGATCGACCACTCGTGCTGAACACACACGAAGTGCTGCCCGTAAAACCGTTGAAGAAGAAACCCTATACGCTGCTCGACAAAACGATATTCCCTGAGTACGAGAAGGCGCGCACGCTCAAAGAGTACGAACTACATCCGGTCACTTTCGATTTTAATCTAAGCGACTTGGAGGATTTGGAGCATGAGACCGTGAAGAAGGGCGACCTCAGCGCCGAAGAGAAGCATTTACTACGCAATGCCGAGGAACCTGTGCTCAGCTACAATGAACGCGTGCCCTACGTGGGTCTCGGAAGTGAGGTGGGCCTGGAAGGTTTTGGTGGTGCGACCGATGTAACAGTACATATTTATACCACAGAGAATAGTTTATTGGCCACCAATGCAACTCTTGCTAGCACCACAACACAAGCGCCAATTATTACTACACCAAATGTTGTGGCCACCATAAGTCCACACATCTTTAAGGTGCATAAAAATAAAACGCTGAAGAAGGGGCGCGAACTACTCAAGCAGGAGGAGGAGACACCAAAGGCAGCGGGCAATAACGTTAATAGCATCAGTCATTATTTTGGCGTGGACACTATTGTAGGGGAAGTGAACGCAACGGCTGCTAGTCTACATTCCGCTAATTTCTTTCAAATCATCACCAATTTGTATGATCACTTTTATTGGCAGGCGTCGGAAATACGCACAAAAGTGTCGACCGCTTGCGGACTGGAAATGCAGGCGTACTTGACGGGCTTGCATGGGAACTTCGACTGGGCGCAAAAGGGTAAGTTAGTGAACATATTTAGGCTTTATTTGATGATTATATGGAATTCGCAATTTTCCTCAGCGTTTTACCTGCCTGCATTACAAGTTGCCTCAAATTTCCCGTGAAAGTCTATCAGAAGAAAGTTTCGTATGGTTTCGAGTGACATTTTGAGATAGAGGGTAGCGCCCTCTAATTGTTGATTTTATAAAGCAATATCGATAACTTTTCCAAAAAATCCCTTAAAGGGAAATTTTTCGGACACTTGCTTTTTACTAGAAATGTTTTTCACAAATGCTCTACACGTGATTTTGCGATATTTTAAAACTATTTGAAAAATTTCCCAAGTGGGTAATTATGCGAAAAATAAAATAATGTTATCTTAGGCACATAAATATATTTAAAATAAATTTAAATTAATTTTCCAAAACTTTCCCTCTAAGGGAAATTTGTTAAAAAGATATTATATCTGTATAAATATAATACCGCAGTCATATTATGGCATTTTTAATAAAAATAATCCAAATTTCAAAATTTCCCGTCAGGGAAAATTTTATAGTATGATAATATTCAAAATCGAAATGAATTCGCTTTGATGCACGGTATTTTTTAAACATTTAATTTCTTGCAACCAAAATATTATTTTTTTCGAAAGAAGTTTTATCAACGGCCGCCGCCACTTCCTCCTTATTAGGAAAATACCCATATTTTTCATACGTTTATAACCAACTCAAATGCGCATTACTTTGTTCATCCGAAAGAGCATTTGAAAGTAATGAAATTATAAATTTAAGCGGCACAAATAAATCTGCTTCCAACAAACATACATATAATTGATTATTGGGCTGGAAAACTGAAAATCTCTTCAACAAGTTTTGTTGTTAGTGCCAGGTTTGAGCCTAATTACAGTCCTCCACATTAATCGAATTTAGTCGAATGTCCTTTTACAGTTCTTTCCATTGTGCTTTTATCTGTGATGACCCCCACATTCAAACTTCTATCATTTGTTTCCCAACCTCTTTTGTGTTACACGACATAAATCATTTCAGACAAATGAATTTACAGTCAATTGAATTCGGTGTTCATGAATTGTGTGCTGGTAATTATTACACGTGAATGCGCAAATCAACAGCAAAAGTATAGGAGAGAAAAAGAGCCTAATGATGATTACGAAGGTGACACACATAACCCGCGCAGAAGCCAAACCAGCCAAACGTTGAAGCGTACGCCAGTTAATGACTGCGTTGTAGGCCAGCGCAGGGTGAGGGAGAGAAAACATGGCGCCAGCTTGAATTTCAATCAAGCTAAAGTTAGTCTAATTTCCCAAAAAAAAAAACTGATGATAATGCGCACCCATAAATTGCACTACACTTTCGCAATGTGGGCGCCACATTCCTTGCAAATTGAGCAATTCTAAGTAAACACTGGTGCATGATTGATGAGCATTTCATGATTGGACATTTGATTCTTTTCTCTTCCAACTCCTCAGCACGTAAACCTCCAAGTGGGCGAGTGTTTACCACGTTCCTGCAATGCACACGACGTGCACGCCATACTCACACTGGATCCACATGCTCAAATGCTTGTCGCACTAAATACCGCGGCGATCAATCAAGCACAATACAACCAAAGTATTGGCCATGGTCATAGCAATAGCAGCAGCGGCAACCACACCATCATACAAGTGCTACATGTGCGTGCAGTGCCCGGCGCCTTCAGCTATTGGCGCGAATTAAAATTTCAAATATTTCTGTGAGTTTATCAGCAACTTTCCGCTTCATACTCATTCAAAAAATGCAGTTGGAACAAAAATTCCCATTTTACTTTTGTTTTTCAGAAGTTTCGTATTCTCACTTTTGCTACTCGTCATCACAGCCACCTGGTATCAGGCGAAATTAAATCAACTGCAGCTCACCTCGCCGCACATTGCGGCCATTAGTGCGAAAATTGATGCTGTCATGGCGGCCGCAATCGCTGGTGCCAGCGGTGGCCGTGGTGGCAGTGGCGGCGATGGCATTGCAACAATTGATGCCAGTGTCGCGGGGACCTACACTAATAATGCCGGTGGCGGCAATTCAGGTGCATTCAAATCAACGAGAGCAGTGCCAGCCTTCGAACTGTACCAGATGAGCACACTGACAACGGAGAACAACAATGTGCTCGACATTGAGGCGGATGTGAGTGGGAATAAAACGGCGAATAGCGCCAGTAGCAGCAGCAGCGCAAACGGCAGTGGCGGACAAGCGAATGGGAATAGCAATGGCGCAGCAGGCACAGCCGCAGCGACAGTGGGAACTACGAAAGGGGGTGGTGTTGCTGGTGGCGGTGGCGGTGGGAGTATTGCAAGCAACAGCAGCAGTGTGCGGCGCATCCATGGCGAACTTTCCGCAACGGATGTCGAGAAGTCACATATGGCCGATTATCGCCTGGAAACGAGCAGCAGCATGGGTGCGTCGAGTACTTATGAGACGAGAAAACAATTGGGTGCGTATGTGGAGAGTGTTGAGTGTGAGCGCACAAAAGGTAAAGTTTGCAATCAAAACATTTGGATTATGCATTTCAGGTTTGCATGAGAAATTTTTATTATGTTTTGCATTTCAAACAAATGCCGGCAGTATCCTCAACATGACAGAGAACAAAGAGGTAAGCTGCTTTTGTATTTTACATTTTTTGTTGTTGGTGTTATGCGTCCTCCTGTGAACTTTGCAAAACTTTGAAGTGCAAATTGTGGTATGAAAGATAAAAAAAAAAAAATTGTTGCAAACAAAGTTAACAGATGGCACAGTATGCGTTGACTTAGTTAGCAGCGAAGGTTAAAGATAAAAGGCAAGCCTTTTGAAGTTGAGAATTCATATGAATTAAATGCATGAATGAAGCTGACAGAGAGAGTTGAATGAAGATTGTGGGCTTTAGGTAAAATTTATAATTTTCTGGAAATTTCTTTAAAAGGAAATTTTTTTCGCATACGTCTTTCAGCTTAAATTTACTGCTTATCAAAGCTCTTTGAAATGTTTTAGTTAAACTAAACTAAATTTTTCTAAATTTCCCTTGAAGGGATATTTTGTAACTCACGGTTTTTAGTTGTAATTTACTTTTATGACGGGTTTGTTACATTTTTAGACAAATTGAAGCAATTTTTCAAAACTTACTAAAATGTCCATTGCAGGGAAATTTTTTAAACCCAACATTTTTTTGGATGTACACTAAACAAACAGTTTTACAATATTTGCACGCAATAAAAGCAGTTTATTTTTAATTTCCCAGTAGGGAAATTTTATTAGAATGCGATTATGTTGTTATAAATACATTCATAAGAAGTACACTTCTCTAAACTGTAAGCGCACTATTTTCCATAATAAAGCACTGTAAAGGTTTTTCATATTCCGAAATAAAAAAATCGAATACAAAAACATATAAATAAAAGCATGAAAATTCTACATATTATGTTATTGCAAATTCATACATTAGAAGTACTCTTTCATATTTTTCTAAAATGTGAGAGCACTATTTTTCTTAGAAAAGCAATGTAAATTTTTTTTATATTCCTCAGTAAAAAATCAAATTTAAACAAAAGTGAAATTTAAGAATTTAATAAAATGAGATCGATGAAGTGCCACACATTTAGAGAAAATTTGTAATTTTGTAAACACTACTGATTTTGAGTCTTTGAAAAGAAGGGGTTTTTTCTGGAGAGATATTATTTTTACATTTTGGGAAATGTTTCGAAAAACAAAACACCTAATTTCCTTGAAAATTTTTCTTACAATTGGTTTTATTTGACACACACATACATATCGTCGCTTGGCGCGCAATACCTCGTATATGTCAAATGCAATACCACGTATGAGGTGTCACTGAAAAAAACTTAATTTTGGTTACCCCGACTAAATTTTTAACCTAAACTATAAATTTCATGGTGAATAATTATATAAGAAGCTCATATTTTGCAAGCTTAGTTAGAAATCCATTCAAACGTTTTGAAGAAAATACTTTTTTTGCTATTTTGAGAAATTTTTTTGACTATCTTATACGTGGTATTGCGCGTCAAGCGACGATATGTATGTACATTCATGTGAACATAAGTATAAGAATGTTTCCTTTTAGATATGAGTTGTATGTCAAAATATGGCTTCTAAAAAATAAAGTGTGTTAAAACAAGCCTTCGAGGTAATATCTAAAAATATAGTAATGCATCGCTAGATATTTTTTGGCGAAATTATGTTGGAAAATTGTTTAAAGATAAGGAATATTTTTCCGAAATAACTTTTCACATAGTTTTTTGAGCTGACTATCACATTTAAGAATATTTTATGAAATTTCCCTTTTGGGAAATCATTTTTCCCGTTTGGGAAATTTTTTAAATTGGTTTTTAACGCTCTTGTGAATGTTTTAGATACAATTTTATTTTGTTAGCGACACTTTGCAGATCTTGAATTTTACATTCATTTAAAATCGCAGTCAAGGGCCAATCGCAAAATTAAGGTTCAAAAATAATACTGTTGCAAAGCAAACAAACATTTGAAGTTAAGCAAAATAATTACTTCGAAGTCGGTAATTAAAATTAATACTCAAAAAAATATGAACAGCATCATAAGCATGGCGAATAATTTCCTTTTTCCTTTTACGCTGCTTGTATTTCTTAGGAAACATTATGGCTGCGTTTCTTTATACATTCCGGATAATCCCATTTCACAGCCGGAGTAAACAGAATGCGTTTGAAATATACGTTAACATATCATCAGGAACGTTCTAAAGAATAAGTAAACAAAAAAGTTTATTCCAAACATTCAGAATGAATAAAGAAATGCAGCCTATAAGCATTAGCAGTAGCTACATTATGTACTTCCGAAAAAAATCTTTTTGCTGCTTTATATTTAATGTTTTTATTATTTTTATTTCGTTTTTTCTTTGCATTTCTCCTTCTCCAGCAACAAACCTCCTGTGTGCATGGCTTGCGCGTCTTCTCCGTGCTGTGGACGATAATGGTGCATACGTATTTGCAAATGTTTACCATCGGTGAAAATAGAGTAAATATTTTGCTTTCAAGCACTTAAGATACATGCATACATACATACATACATACAATACAACACACACAAGCGGACAAACACATTTGCGGCAAACGTTCACCTGCTGTTCATCATTCCTTGCGATTTAATCAGCGTTTGCCGCTGATATTTTCCTTACTAACATACTTTTGCAGCCTCAAACAAGGACATTACACAAACTCCTACATACATACATATGTATGTATGCATGTCTGTATCTGCTTGTAAATTTCTAAATTTCTCGACTTTTCATTTTACCCCAGTTCCAGCGCAACATTGTCGAACGTTCGTTTTGGTATCAGTTCGTTGGCAATGCTACCTTTTCCGTCGATACATTCTTCTTCATCAGCGGCTTCCTTGTGACATTACTCTTCCTTAAACAGGATAAAAAGTATCCCGATGATACAGGACAATATTTTCGACGCAGCATGAAGGATACAGGATTTCTATTGATTTATCGCTATATACGCTTGACGCCAGCGTATTTGTTTGTGATACTCTTTAATGATTTTGCATTGCGGTGAGTATGAAGAGGGTGGTTTTTGGTATTGAAGGGCGCCTAAGTTCATGTAAGCGTCTTTATGGTGAGCTGCTGAGACTAAAAGTATGCAATGAAAAATTAAAAAAAAAGGAATATTTTAAGGCTTTTAATGCCAAAATTCAATATCGAACAGTTTTCATTAAAATTTCATATTAATATAATTTCGCTGAAGCTCAAAAGTATGCAACATTATGGCGCAAAATTTCGATTCAAAAATGCAAGCAAAAGCATGTGTGCGTAGCTTAAATTTAGACTACATAAAACTCATAAGGCTTTCGTATACCACCAAAATGCTGTCCAAATGTTCGCAGTATTTGTATATGAGGCCAATGCGGTCGATTGAAAGTACTTTAATCATGATTTGTAGCAATCCTGTGCTCAAGCGCCTTGTGGTATGCAACATAGCATTGAGCCAGCTATAATCAATTGTGGTATTTTCAATTAATGTACGCAAACACACAAATTATGCAACCACAAATGTAACAAACACAGATAAATGTGGATTTAATCTATCAGAAATGTTGTATACACAAGGATATGCGCCCGAAAATAGGCAGCAGAGTGGTATACAAAATTTTAAAAGCATGTGGTATGGTAGAAGATTTAAATTAAAATTTTATTGAAATGCATTGCCGTCAAATTATTAAATTGCATACTTTTAGGCTGTGATTTTGAGAGAATAAGTCCCTGCTGGAATCACGTTAAGTTGTAATTGTAATATACTGCATTTTTCATCCCTTTTGCCCATTATTTTTCCAGCCAAACTTTCGATAACTCCGTCTTCCAGCCAAATGTCGCCGCCGACACTTGCAGTCGTTTTTGGTGGCGCAACATACTCTATATCAACAATTTTTATCCACTCAGTGAGATTTGCATGATCTGGAGCTGGTATATGGCCAATGATATGCAATTCTTTGTGATGTCTTCGCTGCTGCTGGTGCTCTCCATCAAGTGAGTTTGCAAAATGGTGTTGCATATGAAAAATATCCTTTCAAAATTTTTTTTTTATTACATACTTCAAGGTATTTCAAAACTGCTGCCATCATTTTGTGTTCATTTCTGCTAAGTTCTTGGGGTGTTTCGGGCATTATTTCCCTACATTACCGTTATACGCATAAGGTGGCCAATCCCTTCGAGTCATTCGATTTCCTCTACGACAAACCCTGGCAGCGTGTTGGCACCTACATTATGGGTAAGTGAAATGAGCTTCTATGCTCTGGCGTGTGGAAGAGAGACGTCAATGTATTTTCTGTCATTTATCTTGTTATGGTTTTTTATTTCAAAAATTTCAAAATTGTCTTTTTTTAATAATTTTTCCTCCAAAGATTTGATTTTATTTCTTAAAATTTAAATTGTTAAATATATTAACCAAATAAAATTTATTTTTCTAAATTAATTTTAAGTTTAATACCTTTCTTCCAAAGTTTATGCTGTTAATTTGAAAAATCTCAAACTTAAATATTCGATCTTTAAATTTTTTCTTTAGAATTGCAACATTTAAATACGAAAGCGAAGCGTCAAACAAATTCCATTTTTAATTATTTTTAGTGTTGTTTTTTTTCAATACGTATACATTTTTTGTTGTTGTCATTAATTTATTTTTTATTAAAATTTAAGGCGATATAATTTCAATTACAATTGAGATTTTG